ATGGTTTAAAAACAACATTGTTTATGATTTTTATCTTTCACATCAATTCGTTAGTGAAGTGATTCTGTTTTTCTGGATTTACAATTTGTAGTGGAGTAAAGTTTTTTTTCGAGATTCTTGGTTAGGAACGTTACTCTATCCAACACAAATTGTTTCAATTGCATTAGAAAGTGATTAGTACATTGGCTTTAAAAGCTATGAAAGCATTTGAAAAACGTTTGAACTCTAAAATCTCCATTATTGTTGGATTTAACAACACTAAAAGTTCTAAATTCATTCTTTAATTTTTTTACCTTATTTTTTTTTCATGTTATGCTTCTTTTGATTATTTTTTTTATTTTGTGATTTTTTTAATTTCAAAATCAATTTCCTTTTGTTTTTGTGTCGAATGTTTCAATGTGTAAATATTTTTCTCTTTCCAGAATGTCTCTCAAAAGTGTATTGGTTTTTGTTATTAGTGAATTCAAGTCGTATCTTAGGTCTTATCTACTATCGTTGTAGAAAATATATAAGAAATGTGTTTGTTTCAAACCATGAGGTAAAGTTATTTTTTAAGCAGCGATTCAAATAGATGGAGAAAAAGAGAGATGATTCTTTAAAACATGAATTTTCATTGAACCCAAATTAAATGCATAAATTCAAAATTTTAGTCCATTTACTTTTAGCATTTTTAATAAATAATTTTTTTTATGTATTTATTGTAAGAATTTAATTCAATTTCTTCTAAAGTTATATAAAAGTAAGATAAAATTAATTAATTTTTTATTAAGATAAAAAATGATACATGTCATAAATTTAAATGACACATGTCTAACTCTCATAACTTGAGTTTAGAAGAAATTTTAAACTATTATATAGGTTTTTTTTTTTAAGATTCATATATTTTGAATTTTACTTAGACTTGAGGTGATCCAAACAAATATTTCAAAACTCAGTTACACATTACATTGGAATATATAACACATACTCCACCAAATTCCCAATCTATATAATTTTATATGAAGTGCGAAATCCTACGTGGCGCCCTCAGAATGAATTTGAGGGTGGTTGATTACAAGGATACCCTCTTCTAAAAAATAAAAATACATGTTATGCCATTATTAATACGGTTTATATATATATATATGTGTGTTTTCGTATCCCATGCGAAGCAAAAACACCTCTTCAATGACTACGTACAAAGGTTCGTTCATATGTCTAACTATTCCTTTCTCCTATCTATTTTCTTATGTCATGTACTATTGTTTTCTCATAATTTTCCAATTTGTTTAGGACCTCTGGTTTATATTTGTCGAATATATCCAAATTTCGTCCCAAATCCTTTCTCAGCTCGATGGATTACTCATGTCGACGTCTATGTTACCTACGAAGATAAATCAATCATACGTCGCATAAACCGCCCATCTAATG